AACAAGTAGTTTAAGACTTTTGAGGCTTTGCCTGACTATTTGTAAATATACCATAATATTATCAGCCTACCAGGGTGGTGGTTTGGATTAAACGGGAGAATGCATGCACAGTGATTTTTTTTAAAGATTTTATTTATTTATTCATATAGAACTGGGGTACAGGCCAGAGGATCAGGGGCGGTAAGAGGATTCACCAGAGACAGAGTGGGGAGCAGAACAGGCAGATCGACAAAGTACACTGCTGAGGGGAGCAGCGGGCCGGTCAGGAGAAGTCTGCCACGCCATGTGGTCACCTCCGGGGCAGGCGGGAATCGAACTCATGCGGAAGTGGCTTTAGCTTCTTTGTGCAGCGCTTTAACCCACTGAGCCACCAGGGAGGGCCATAGTGATTTTTTTTTTTAACTCAGCCATCAAAAAGCTAAAATCTTGTCATTTGCAGCAACATGGATGGAGCTAGAAGGGATAGTGCTCAGTGAAATAAGTCAGAAGAAAAAAGAAAAATATCTAATGGTTTCACTTATAGGAGGAATAAGAGAAGCAAATAAGACATAGGGAAAATTTGTACTGTTGTGACAATACATAACACAACTAAACCAAAACAAACACAGTTATAAACCAGAGGTATCCAACACGGGGGAGGGAGGGGGAGGGACTGGGAAGAGGGGGGACTGTAGGGGACTGTGGTGATGATGCACTGTGGGGGAGAGGGGAAGTAAATATTATTTTAGAATGAACAACAGTGTAAATAGATATATAAATTAATAAATTTAAATACAAAAATGAGTACCCGTCGGTGAAGCTTAACACAGCTCCTTCATTTATATGTCTTTATACATATGATAGCCTACGTGGCCGTATCCGAGGTAGAAAGCTAACCACTGTATTTGCTTGAAATGCTTCTTGCTGGCTTGCCATTCTAAGCTTTGAACAACTGGTTATGTCACTTCAAATATACATACATAACAAGATTCCTTCCCTCAAAGATGTGAAAGTCTTGTTCAGCTAGATTAGGCATAGGTATCAAGAAGTGAGAGCAGCTGACTGCACATGACCCATAGTATCTGTTCATGGACAGCGATCCTGAGTGCCCTGGGGGAGATGGAGTTGCTGGGGTTTAGGGCTGCCTTGCCCAGCATCCACAGGCAGCTGAGAATCGAAATTCTTGAATTGGTAGCCATTTTGTTTCATTCTGGAAAGCTAGTCCTGTAGAACCTCTTTGACCAAGAGACTTGTTCGTCTACTACTGTGTAAGGCAGTTGCCATTCCAGATTGAGTATTTTTCTTCAAAACATGTGCAAATGGTTCACTTCTTTAAGCTTGGCCCCATACCTTACTAACGTTGGTGTTATTTTTGACAACTGGAGCAAAGCAGTATTTGCCAGGTTTCTTCACTGTGAAGTTACTCTTGCTGACCGCTGACCCCACTTCCATACTGTACAATGTAGAGCTTTCATCTGTTGTAGAAATGACTTTTTGGTATACTTGAGAGAACGCTGTTTTTTTTTTTTTCTCTTTATAATTTATAGCCAGTCAGCCCCAGCATATTCACTGGCATCCTATCCTTAGTGCTCTCACTTTACCTTTTATTTTTATATTTTTTAAAGATTTATTTATTTGTGCATATAGAACTGGGGTACAGGCCAGAGGCTCGGGCGGCGAGAGGCTTCACCAGAGACAGAGTGGGAAGCAGAACAGGCAGATCGATGAAGTACACTGCTGAGGAGAGCAGTGGGCGGGTCAGGAGAGGTCTGC